TGAAGCTGTTGGGAATGATCCTGAGGAGAGGGAAGATTTGGCTCCTGAAATTCCTGCTCCTCCAGAGATTAAGCAGGTTAGTTATGTGTGGGATTTGCAAATTCTGATAGTAAATAATTTTACATCATGCTGCACCCTGCAGGACTATGTGACATGTATTTGTGGTATGGAAGTTATTGGATAACTATCTTATACAAAAAGCCAGTGCCATATATTTGCCGTATTTTTGTTTGCTCTGCCAGTAAAATAAGTTTGGTCGTTTAGACACTTTTCTGGCTACTGGGACTGGACTCCCTCAGATTACAAAACTTTTTACCTTGTTAAAAAACTTTGACATCCTACAAAAGGCATTACTTGAAGGATTACTATAATAAGAAAATATTGTAGGAATTTTTCCTGTTGCTCCAAATGTGCAATGTAACTTTTTTCTTGTCAGTTTTTATGATGTGACATTCAAGTTAACTACCCTCATCAAGGGAATCAGATAGCGACAAAGCAAGAGAGTTGAGAATTGGCTTCCTGACCATTAAGATCATACATTAAAAAAATAGTCTATAATGTTTTTTCTGGCCTTGAGTGTGGTTTTGTTGCCAATAGGATGTAGGGAGCCTTTGCCCAGCGCTTATTAAAGTGTAAGTGAATGTATATCTGTTGTGATACAATTTCCTTTTTCTGAATACTAAAAATGATCTTGAAAATGGACCAGTGTACTTGTTCTTAGTTCCATAAACTTTGCGGGGAATATCATTTGTTGTCAGAAGGAGCTCCACTTCTATGTTTAAATGATATCGTATATGTGAATAGTAAGTACTACTAATTGGGACGGGGATTTAGTAGGACCATGGATCGAGAAAGTGTGCTCTTGTATTTTGTTCTGTATTTTGTGTTTTAACGTTCTTCTCTGCAGTTGTGAAGCTCTTATATAATAACTTTTGTCCCTTCTCCGTGTGGTTAGGATGACGAAGACGAGGATGAAGGTGATGAAGAGGGAGGGGGTCTGAGTAAATCTGGTAAAGAGCTGAAAAAGTTGCTTGGAAAAGCTAATGGGTTGAATGAATCAGATGCTGAGGATGACGACGATGACGATGATGTAAGTTTTGATTCATTATTGGTTGCTAAGTGAAGGTCTCTTTTTACTTTTTATGCGCTATTTTCCTTATCCTGGTTGGGAATGATCTAAGTAGGCGGTTTTCTCCATTTGTTAGTTTTGACAGGAGTAATTATGTTTTTCCATTCCATGGTTTTAAAATCCATCTGAATTGTCTTCTCTTGTTCTGTCTTCATCAGACAGAAGAGGATATTTCACCTGTATTAGCTCCTAAGCCGAAGGAAGCTCCTAAAGAAGAACCGATCGACACCAGCAGTCCTTCGAAACCATCTGCTTCTGGACCCACTCGTGGAACTCCAACTTCAAAATCAGCTAAGACTAAAAGAAAAGCTAATGGTGATGACTCAAAACCAACCAATGGTGCTCCCTTGAAAAAAGTGAAAACAGAAACGGTACGAAATTACTAACTATAATATTTATTTGCTTTTGGCGTGATATGTCCTTTGCATGGGAATATGATGCTGGCAAGGCATAAGTTTCATAACCACCTGGAAAACCACTTGTGGTCCTTTTAGTCTGAAGAATTTAGGAGAAGGAAGAAACGCCAAGTCGGAAAGTTGATTTGCAGTTACTGTTTATCAGAACTATGATGTTACGACTAACATGTCCATAACCATTTTCTTGATTTTCTAAGGAGGAATTATTTCCTTTCTCCTGTTATATTATTGCTGATCTCCTTCCATTCATATCGTGCAGGATGCCAAACCTGGGAAAGATGAAACTCCGTCTACTGCGAAGAACAGTGTTCTCCCAAAGGGTGCATCACCCTCTTCCAAAACGGCTCCAAGTCCTGCCACAGGTCCTGTTACTGAAGAAGAAATTAGAGCTGTTCTATTGCAGAGA